GGCTGGGCTGGGCTGGACTGGCATCTGAATCTTGTCTGATGCGGTCTGTGCTGCGAGCGAGCCTGAGGGAAAAAGAAGGGGCAGCGAAAGGGCAAAAAGTGGAGGGATGAGGATTCCGGGGTCGAGACTGCACAGCACAGTAGTATTCGTATCCGGCGCCCCCTTGCAGCGACCTACAGCTGCTGATGCGGCGCACTGCCATGACCCGAGACGAGACGAGAAGCTGCTCGTCCGCGGCGGTAATTACCTCCTGACCGACATCGTTCCTGGACCTGACAAACTCAGGAGCCAGAGCTGTCATCAATGGCTGGATGGGGCTTTCGCGTGTCGATGCCGCGTCGGTGGCTGGCGGCGGGGTCCGACTCCTGACAATGAGTTAGGTACGATGCATGCGTGTGTGATGCATGCGTAGCGCTCTCAGAATCAATGGATTGTTCTCTTTGTCCTTGATGACGAGCAACAAGGGCCCCTTGCAGCGCTTGTCCGCGAGATGGATCGGTCCAGGTGCTGACGCTGTTCCGTCCCCATCGGCTATAACTGGCTTCTCCACAGGCGATAGCGATAATGGCCACGGATCCATTGGATAAGGCCCTGCACCCACTGTACCATTGGATTGCGGTAGGGGAAAGGTCTGCCAGCTAGTGGGGTACCCGCTGGTACATGCCATCAGCGCTGCTCAGCCCCAATCGCGAGGTCGCAGGTCGGTAGTCCCCCATGTCATCGAATCATCCATCGTCACCCCAAACCTGGCTTTCAATCACATCCATTCAATCCCTCACCCACACCCACGGGCTCGTCTCTCTCCCCTCCTCCCCAAACCTGCAGCTCCTCCACGCCGGCTCTTACAACAGGCGCTTCCAGACTCGTCGCAACTCCTCGAGAGAGAACGACCGAGATTATACCTGCGATCCCCTTCCGCGACAGCCAGCGGCACACGGACCACTCGAACCCGCCACCAATCGAATCGGGCGTCGATTTCGGTTCCCTCCCGTATATCTACGACGAGTATCTACTATCCACCTCGTAATCCGCCCTCTTAATCTCTCCGCCACGCCCCCCGAAAGTCATGCCGACTAAGCCGCGGTGAGAGGCAGCAGTTCTGATTTACCCGCTGTCTTGCTCTTCGTCGCTTGGGCAGGTGGTCTCTGATTCGACAGCGTTGCTTTGGTCTTTCCTCGTCTCTTCCTTTCGCTTCGCCTCGCTTTCACCTCGATCGATCCGAGCTACTATTCGCCAATTGCCTTCGAAACCCGCAGACCCTTACAGACCTTCCCTTCGAGCCGTTCTAGATTCTACATCATCTCAATAGCCAGTCTCGTCGCATCTACCTACCTGGTCTGGGCATCCATATTCTTCTCCGGCTCGCACCGTTGCACTCCCCGTGCCGGCAGCCGTCTCTAACATGGACTCGTACGTCTTGCTCCTCACTGTTCGAGACTGTCTTACTATTGCTCAGTCCTTCCGTCACCTACTTTGCCCCCCTCCCTGCTCCGTATTGCTTTAGCTCTCCACCGCTACTCAATAACCCCATACCTTGTCTTACCCTCTCGTATCTTCACCCCCCTTGGGCTAGCCAAAGTCTAAAGAGAACTACTACCCGCAAATGTAGTATTTGACTTCGACTGGAATGCTGTTTTTGCCTCTTTACTTTCTTCGCGCCATGCACCCTTTCTTGTTTCTTCCTTCCTCTCGACTTCCATCCGAGCCATGGCCACCGCTAACACGCTGCCCAGCTTCGTGCACGTCGCCAACTGGAGTCACAGTCCTCGGCCTCTTGGCCACTTCAGATCACATTCATCCATGACCACATCAGCAATAACCGCCGGCTCTGCCTCGCCGCCGGCATCTCCCAAGTCGCTCACCTCACCGAAACCCAAGTCGCACCTGGAGCATCAGTTCTCTGCATCATCGCTTTCGAACGTCAACAGTGATTTCTATAACGATGAGTTGAGCACTCTCCCGGATCCCCGAAGCCGATCGATGACCCCGGCGCGTCATGGATCAACAGGCAGCTCTCAACACCCGGACCTTACTGATGAGGTAGCGGCTTTAAGTACAAAGCTCATCAACGCCATTAATCACCAGACGATCCTTGACGACACCCTTAGTGCCACACGCCACGAGCTCGAGACAGCCAATGATCGCATAGCGGAATTAGAGGCGCAGAATGCCTCTCAACGTGAAATCCTTTCTGGTGACGTTTGGGTTCGGAAAAGCGCTGTTGAAGTTGAGAAGAAGACGTGGCAAGCCCAGGTTGCTGAGGAGAAGGCCAAACGACTAGAGGTAGAAAAGGCCAAGAAGCTGATCGAGCAAGAGCTGGAAAACCTCACGGCTGCGCTCTTCGAAGAGGCCAACAAGATGGTGATCCGTGCCAAGGAGGAGGCCCAGGCTGAGCATGATATTATCCAGCGCAAGAACGACCAGCTTAAGGCTCAGCTCGCCGATTCTGAGAGTCTACTAAAGTCGCAACAGGAGCAACTCTCGGAGCTGAAGCAAGTCATGGAAACCATCACGTCCGAGCAAGACGACTATACCAATAACACAGCCCCGTCATCGCCTGGCGTCGCCAGACTCGAGTTCCGAGATGATGAGCGATTCAGCTCACCTACGCCAACGCAGGGTGGCGCCGAGGCCGTGGCCCCAGCACCGCCAACGAGCTTCCCTCATCTCATCCAACCAGTTCTCCGATTCGACATCAATACATACGACGACTTCGTCAACCTTACCAAGATCTCAAAAATCCACACGGGTGGGAGTGTAAGGTCGTCCTCGGGGTCTCTCGCAGGACTCAGCCTGCCATCGCTTGGCCTTGGAGGCTCAACTTCCAGCGTCCATCTATCGAACGGTTCAACAACGTCACTTGGAAATGCCGCGTCTGGCGGCAACAGCAGCGCTCCTCATTCTCCAAGTGGTTCAAGCTCCCTCCAAGCATCACCAACCCCCATCCCCCATATCCGCGATACGAGGTTCTTCAAGCGTGTTCTCACTGAAGATATTGAGCCTACGCTTCGTCTCGATGTCGCCCCTGGGCTATCATGGTTAGCTCGTCGTTCCGTGATGAGTGCGATGACCGACGGATCATTGGTGGTTGAGCCTGTTACTACACATGCTGGCAACTCGTTCATCATGAGCATTTCTAAGCCACACCTAAACCCTTGCTCATTATGTGGCGAGTCAAGGAAGGATCCTCTCTACCTAAGAAATCACCGGTTCCGCACCAGCGAGCAGGGTTCGGCTCAGAGATACCCCTTGTGCAAGTACTGTTTGAACCGTGTCCGATCTACTTGCGACTTTCTCAGCTTTCTGCGCATGGTCAAAGACGGGCACTGGAAGGCCGAGGACGACGACCAGGAGAAGTCTGCGTGGGAGGAGAGCGTCAGGCTGCGGGAGCAAATGTTCTGGGCTCGCCTTGGCGGAGGTGTTATCCCCTGCACATCGCACGGTACCATTTACGGGGACAAGAGCCCCCGGCCAAGTATGGACCAGCTCAAAACAGAGAAGGCTGTTGATGAAGCGGATGGAAAGGCCAGAGAATCTGTCGAGGAATCCCCGGACTCTGCCAAATTTGAGGACGCCGTTGCCATCCTACCAGAACCCGTGGACTCTATAGATATTCCTACCACCAAGGTCGAATCAGTCGAATCGGTTGAAGAAGTTGATTCCGCCAGCGAGCCACCTCCACCTCCACCAAAGGACGAAACGCATATCGGTGACGAAACCGAAGTTGCCGAAAAGGCCAAGATCCCGCAGACTCCCCCTGAGCAAACAGCGAAGGACTAAATCTACCTCGGCGAGCGGGAGTTCACCATCAATTTCATTACATGTACCACTACTACTTGCTTTTAATCATCACGGGAGGGTATTTTTTGGAGACACCAACCTATTCCTCTTTTCTTATAGTCCGGGTATCTCTCTTGTCTTGCTTGGGCGTGCGTACCTTGCGCAACGGCGTTCTTATGGGTGTTGACCAAATTGCTGGTGGGAGTCCTCTTTCATTTTTACGGTGTTTCTTCTCGGGTCGCGGCGCATTGGGGTTCAAGTTATTTCCGCCATTTTCTTCCTCGTTATCATTACAACGAAGACTGTCTATAGAGCGTGGGGTTTCCGGTTTCCTACTTTCCTACCTATCTTATCTTTGGGCGAGACCTTTTTTTCCTTTATTCTTCTTTCAAAGGTCCGCGGCGAATGGGGGACTACAGCATAAGGGGGGCCATGAACACCACACGAAACAAAAAGCGGGAAGGGTGCTAGACCAATTAACGCCGGTGGGCATTAATAGATAGATATGACGATAATAATCAAGGGAAAGACATGAAGAATCACATCTTGCATACCCACTACGTATCTGGCTATTGGCTCATCCCAATGACTGTGTTGAAGAACAAGTCGGGACAGCCCGACCCCTAGGAGCAAAGGGCCGTGATCGGCCGAGACATCTTCATCGTCTACGCTGCAGGATAAAGTGGTTGTCCTAGACATTGCCTCAGCCGCTGAGGGGTGCACAGCAAATCTCCGACTGGGCGGCTGAGGGCATACGTGCCGACGAGGTCTGACCGACAGCCAAATATGTTAGTTAACATTAGCTTCACAAGATTTGACGAGAGATTTCTTTTTTTTTATTTCATTTCATCTTTCAGTGTTTTAAAAATAAAATAGAGATCACCGCCTGGGTGCTTGGGACATAAATCTTTCACACCCAGAGAGAACCAGGCTCCTATTCATGTCACTTCCACTACTTCCGCACTCCCCCCTGTTCTCTCCGTAACTTGAGTTAAATGATTTGTTTTTATAGGAAAGATGCCAGCCCAAGTTTTCCCTTTTCCGATACATCATCCGTCATTGTAAAGAGGGGGGACGTTGCCCCACAGATTAGAGAGAGTTTTGCTGCTGTTTATGAGAGATAGGAAAGAATTATACAGGAGATTTCACAAAGGATTGAATAAAGGTAGGTTTGGATGGTGTAGGGGTAGAGCCATTCAGTCGAACGAGTCTACTCTGGTTTATAGCTCTTGGTTGAGAGTGGCTTCCTGTCCTTCGCTGGCAGGCTTAGCTTGCTTCTGCTCAGCCTCCTTTTCGCCATCGCGGCTGGCCGCAGCGTCCTGGGGAATCTCAACCTTCTCGTCGTTCTTGACGGTCTCGCTGTTGAGGCCTTCCACATCGGGATGAGGAGGAGCAACAACGGGAGGCTCGCTCTCGACAGATTGTGGCTGCTCCTTCGCAATGTCCTCGGCAACCTGAGTCTCAGTCTCAAGCTTGGTTGAGAATTCGGCCGACTGTTCCCTAAGAGACTTGACCTGCTCCTCATTAAGTAGGTTGCCGTTCTGGTCACGATACTCGACGACCTGCTCCTCGGCAGCGACAACCTTGACCTCCTCGACAGGTGCCTTGGCCTCCGGTGCCTTGACCTCGGGTGCTTTGGCCTCGGGAGCGTCACCCAAAGGCTTCTGGGCCTCATTTTCAGGAACAACTGCGTCCGCCACGGAGGGGGTGGGCGTTGGGTTTGTTCCTGCCTCGACAGTGAGGTAGGTGTACTGGTCAAGCTATTCATAGTTAGTCAGAGTGTTCCTGAGCTCGTCGCTCGGCCGTATCGGGGTACTTACAGAGTCATGGAAGTTCTTGCAGTCGAAATCCCAAGTAGGGAAGAGCTTGACGCGGTTGCACTGGGCCTTGGTCCAGGGGCCACCGTAGGCTAAGGGGGAGAGAAGCGAGAAAGCGGCTCCAGAGAGAACCAAGAAAACAACGGCCGTGATTCGGTTGAAGATAACACCAGAGGAAGCGTGGCCATGAGAGGCAGGGATTCGGAAGGTGGCAAAATCAATGACCTGGCAAAGAGCAATGATCGCAAAGTAAAGAGCAGGGAAGTAATGGTGAAGGAAAAGTTGACGCTTCATCAGATAGAACGGGAAGTAGTGCAGAGCCCAGCCCAAAATCGAAGTGCCGATTTCGTAGTCGAAGCGCTTGAAAGTGGCATTGGAGTAATCGCCGCAGCTGCGCTGCCATCGGATAACGGCAATAACCTTGAAGATGACCCAAACGACAATAGAGATGGACGACGACCACCAGATGATGGGGTTACCAAGGAGGTAGACCTGGGTGTTGTTGCGACCCCAGAAGTTGATACCACGGCGAAGGATGGGCCACGACTCGGGGCGAGAGTCCCAGGCGTGGGAATCCGTAAGGCCAGCATTTGTCCTCCACATCACTGCATGAATCTCGGCAAACTTGCTGAAGAAACCGGGCTTGTTGTAGTTGACCCTCTCAGCATCGGCGCCCAAATGAGGGCTCTCATTGCTCTCAATATACCAAACACTGTTCGGGACAGAGCCACCACGAGCGCAAGTTACCTCTTGTTGTTCAGACGCCCAGTCAGGCAACTTCACCTTATGAGAAAAGAGAACGCAACCGGTCATGACATGAACAAGCCGGAACTTGGTTTCGATGGTGCGAAGACGTTGTTGGGCGGCACCGCTCTTCGACTGCTTCTTCACAATCTCAACTCGGAAGAAGTCATTGGCATCACCTTCAAATCCCTCGTAACCATAAGCAGATACCTCATTTTGCCAATCAGCTTCGGTGACAGGAGGTCGGACATCGTGTGAGTGAAGGCGGCGGTGGGTATTGACATGGTACAGTCGAAGAACAGCCCCATCGGTGATGTAACTAGGCTCAGGGAGGAGGTCCCAGGCGTTGGTACCGTTGATGGGCTGGCCATCCGCGCCCAATGGCTGAGTCTGATTCTCGAGGAACCACAGGTTGTTCTCATCCTTGTGAGGATACAAGGTAATCTGCTGCTGCTTGCTACCGGTGGGGTACATCAGAGGGTGGGAGTGAAGGTAGCCACCCTGGGTATTAACGTGACGAATGCTGACCTTGCTGCCCATCACAACATCTGCGGGAACGCTGGCCATTCCCTTGCTGTTGAGCGTAGACTGGAACTCGGAGCTCATGAAACCGTCACCCTCGCCAGGGTTGACCAGGCAGAGGAAGTGGATGGCAAACATGGCCATGTAGAAGGTAAGGGGAACAATGATCAAGGAGAAGACGCGAGCCATGAGGTGCTTGGTCCACAAACGCTATAGATTCAATTAGCAATCAGAACGCCTTTGAAGAATGGTTCGTAGCAGCTCCTACCATGGAGACATTCTGGACATCACCAAGGAGAATCCAGAGCTGGAGGATGGTCAAGAGGCCAACCCAGGCAATAGTGAAAAGTCCAACCCATTTGATGCTGGCGGTAATACCGAGACCGAGACCGGTGTTAATCAGCCAGAACCACCAGCTGGGAGAGAAGGCCTTGCTGGGACCAAGTTCATGTTGGTTGGTGAAAGCGTTGAAGGCGAGAGCAGTATAGCCGGTAGCGAAAACCAGGGGGGAGTCGAGGAGGATCAAGCGAGCTTGGGTAAGGAGGCCGTTCTCTGAACAGACTCTGTCAGCAAAAGGAAAACACACAAGAAGGAGGCACATTGACAGAAGCATACCAAAAATAATAAAGCTAGAGCCCAAGAGAGCTGTCACAGTTCGGCAGCCAACGGTCTTGAGGGTCAAAAACATGATGGGGGCGAGCAGAATGCCACAGATGGCAGGGAACATGCGCATAGCCACGTAAGGGACATTGGGTTCGATATAGTCCTTGCCAATCTCCTTGAAGTCGAACGAGCCGTCGAATCCAGCAAGCCAGCCGGTTAGGGCGATGAGCATCTTAGCGAGAGGGGGGTGGACATCCATAAAGAATTTGCCCTTGATGTATTTGGAGGCGAAACCACCGAAACTGCAATTGGGAATAAGGGGTCAGTTCCAAGCTCAGGAGAGGGGTGCGCAAACTGGAGGACAACTCACTGGACCTCGTCGAAGACGACACTGGTGGGCATGTAGATTTTCCACGTGCGAACCAAGGTAGCAAGAGCAATGATACCCAGAGCTACCAAGTAGTCAGACACGGGCAGGAGGAAGACATCGTTGTCCTCGACACCGTCAGACTTGTAGGAGGTGCTGATGGCATTGGCCGCCTTCTTCTTGTTCTTGGACCTCGACTTGGATCGCGACTTGGATCGGGCCTTGGGGGCTCCAGGAACGGCGAGCGCAGGCTGGAGCTGCGCGGCGACAGCAGGTTGCTGCTGTTTCTCAGAAGGCGGCTGGGGACTTCTGCCCCGGGTGCCGTTGGACTTGCCCATGCTGTACGCTGTTATCGAGGGCAGGCCAATGCACGAGGGTATTAGAGACGGATTCGTTGGTATTACAGGTGGTGGGTGGAGGTGTCGGTAGAAATGACAGATATGTCGTAGTTGGATTCAAGGAGCGTATGAAGGGTGAAGAAAGAAAAGAATAGTCGGGGATTGGGAGGACTTCGAAGGAAGGGTCCGTGAAGGCCGGACTAGGCTATGGGAGAAGAAGAGAAGAAGAAAAGAAGAAGGAACCCGCGCTACCAGATAATGATGCGTGCGCAAACGGGTGTGTCCTCCAAACACGAGGTTGAAGAGCTGAGATGGAAATGGAATTGATGGACAGCCTGGCAAGGCGGGCACAATGCAATAAAGGGGGGTACCTGGGAGAATAGCGGTGGTGAGCCGGCTGCCAGTGCTTGGGTCTGGTGGGTAGGGCGCTAGACGGGCGGGCTGGCGAGCTCGTGTGTGGAGAGACAGGGGGCGTGTTAAGGGACTGGCGGTACCTCGAGGGTGTATCCGCACCCGGCGAGTCCTGTAGCTTGAGCAGACCAGACGAGCACAACGGCCGGAACCGTAATGCAACTGCGGTCAACGGCGTCAGGCAATTACCGGGTGACCTACATCTCTCACCGGTACCATGCAGCACAAAACCCAGCAAAAGAAGAAGAAAAGTCCAGGCTGAGGATATCGACAGCTCGCTGCCAATGCCTTCTGAAAGGACACATCAAGCTCTCTGCTGAAAGCCGTCAGCCGTACCTGCTACACCCTGTTCTAGCTGTGCGCTAGCTAACAGCTACATCCTCAGTACCCTGAGCCAGCTACACGGGACGGCCCCAGGGGTGGTACACCCAAAGTAGAGCTCAACTGGCCGCTCCTGGATCTATTGGCTGGCCCACATCCCTCTGACATGTGCTAGAGCTTTGATAGGGCACCTGCAGACGAGCATATCGTGTGCTATTGATCAGTCCATTGATGCACGTTTGCAGTCGACAAAGAAACCCAAATTCCCATTCCTACAGACGCGTCCCAGCTCGCAGTTTAACCCTTGCCCTCTGGCCAAGGCGACTAATTTCGTTCTTGCATTGACATTGAGCCAGGTGTTGTTTCCCATCAATATCCATATACACTGGGTTTCACGGAGGAGCCAACTGACCATTGAAAACCCATTCTCTGGTGATGTCGTTCTGGATCTGAAACTTTTTCCTCGTCCCGAAACGCGTAATTGGTAGCGGGAAGACGAGTCCACTCGGATGCGAAACCAGGGGTCCGTACTCCGTATCTATTGAAACCTTGCCCGCCACCCAGGTGACATAAGGATTGGTACGAGGCCATTCACATGTAAACCAATATAACATCAGCGCATTCTGGGGCAGATATGGAGACTATTCGAAATAGAACAGTTTTGTTTCCCACGTCCAATTGTATTTTCTATAGCTGCTTAAAGAATCTCAAGCCGTGAATATGGAATATAACAGACTGAAAGTAGCGTTCTGGTGTCTCACCTTTATGTCACCCTTTACCCACACGAGCTGTCTAGAGCCGGCGCCGGAACAATACTTCTCCGAGTTCTTGTCTGGTACGTGCATCGACCTAGATCTTGAAATTTCCCAAACGCGACAAGGCTCAGAAGAGCACCCCAAGATACCCATTCCATCTCCTCAAGCTTAATCTGCCGACAGGTCGCTGAAATGGCAAACGGCGCGCCGAATGGAGACTCCAACGGGGCATTGGATGAGTTCAAGCCCCCGCCTGGAGTTGTTCTGCCACCTCGCGAAATCCGAACCATCCTCGAGAAAACTGCGGGCTACGTCGCGCGAAACGGAGCTGCATTCGAGGACCGTGTCCGCGACAAGGAGGCGCAGAACCCGAAATTCAGCTTCCTGAACCCATCCGACGCATATTTCCCATTCTACGAATGGAGATTGGCCGAGATCAGGGCCGGGCGCGGCACCGACGTCGCGGCTGGCCGCGCCGGCGAGACGATCGCAGCACCTGCGCCGGAGAAGCCCAAAGGGCCCCCCAAGCCTCCCGATTTCCAGTTCTCTGCTCGGATGCCCCATATCAACCAGAAGGATCTTGATGTCATCCGTCTGACGGCCCTCTTTGTCGCTAAGAATGGTCGCCAGTTCATGACACAGCTCGCCCAGCGCGAGACCGGAAACCCCCAGTTCCAGTTCCTCATTCCTAACCACACATTCCACAACTTCTTCCAGCACATAATCGACCAATACACGAAGCTGCTAAGAGCGGGCGGTGTTGATGGCGAGGGCGGCAAGCAGCAGCAGGAGGTCATGGATGGGTTGGCGAAGGATGTCAAGGACAAGCTACGGATTCTAAATCGAGCAAGAGAGCGAGCCGAGTACAGCAAATTCCAGGAATCCGAGAAGCAAAAGAAGGAGGAGGAGGAAGAGGAGAAGAAGGCCGAGTTCCTACGAATCGACTGGGGTGATTTCGTCGTGGTGGAAACCATCAGTTTCACGGAAAGCGACGAGAAGGCCAATCTACCGCCTCCTACCAATCTCGCTGAGCTGCAATACGCATCATTGGAAGATAGGAATAAGGCATCCATCGCCTCTAATATGCGCATCGAAGAGGCGTTCCCCGGCGAGGCGGAAGAAATGGCAAATGGCAACCTACCAGCAGCACAGCTACCGTCATACCCTCTCCCAGCCCACCCCGGACACGCAGTACCACAGCCAAACTACCCAGCACAGGCACCCCCAGCTCAAAATTTCTACCCAGGAGCGCCACCGCGATCTGCACAGGAAGAGGAGGAGTTGCGGCGGATACAAGAGCGCAGCGATGCTCAAGCTCGCATGCACAATGCGCAAGCTGAGGCTCGGGGTGGCATTGCGCCCATGAAAATCAGGGAGAATTACGTGCCTCGAGCAGCTCAGAAGACTGCCAACAGACAAGGGACGCAGATGGCGCTGTGCCCTAACTGCAAGCAGCAAATCCCAATGAACGAGCTGGAAGCTCACATGCGAAGTAAGTACCTTAGCCTTGGCTCATTGCCCCATTCTCATCTCTACTCTCTTTTCGCTCATTGCTAACCTACCTCCTTAGTCGAATTACTTGACCCCAGCTGGAAGGAACAAAAGGCGAAGGCGGAGGCTCGCTACGCAACTTCAAACATCTCACATGTGGATGTGGCCAATAACTTGAAGCGACTTGCCAGTCAGCGTAGTGATGTGTTCGACCCTATCACTGGGCAGGCCATCTCAGAGGAAGAGGCAGCACGGCGCAAGAAGGCGGCGGTTCAAGGCTTCGAAGGAACCCCCAATGCGAATGTCCCCCAACCAGGGATGCAGTCTGTCGATGTCAACGAGCAAATCCGACAGATTTACGACAAGTATGGTGAGAGGAAGTGAGGGATCTTAATCGACTTTTGACGGCAAGGTGCACGAAGAGCAGGTGTACGAGAGACACTTCGCATCCGTTCAGTTATGGTTACTGCGCGGTTTTAAATGCCGTCCTGGCTCTCTGGACCAGGTCACCACGTAACCAGAAAACATGGAAGCAAAATGCTTTGCTTCAAGCCAGCGGACAAGACAGTCTGATTTGGGCTGGATAGGTAAGGCGACTTGCGCTACCACATGCGGTTGTTCAAGGGCTTATCAATGTCAGCTTACCAGCTCATCGAATTTGGAAAAGAAGAAATAAAACAAATCGCATCATCTTGTTGGCACAGGGAGCTGCGAAACAGGAATGTTTTGGATGGCTTTGCTAGATGGTAACGGCAGCCAACCGACTTAATAAGCGGCAATGAATTATATCGGTGTTGGTTTTTAGCGTTTGAGGCTGAGAGTGCCTCTCGATTGGGGGATAGGTTCAGTTTTCAAAGGCATATCAAGGTGTTAATATTCTACTCGAGAATCCAAACGGGAGATATTGGGGAGGGGCTGGAGAGCCATGTATTTTACTGATGCCAGGTTGGATTGCGCAAGGCTAATGCAGCGAAGCCGCTGTAAATTGACGTTATACTTGGTGTCCAACACCACGCAGTGATCTTTCGCTCCGCCATATGTGATGGGCAGACGTGACAGAGTTTGTGTAACCATGCCGCATGTGGGTGATGGAAGGCTGTCGAACCAAACCAGGACACAGCTCGGTAGTATTTGTCGATGATGAGATGAGAATACCCCAACGCTCACGCATAAACCCCCGCACGCAGTTAAAGCTTCCTTTCCTCCTTCATTCCTCTTGGTTGCTAATGATCTCTCCTCTTCGCCCTTTTTCTCTGCTCCTCCTTGCTGAGGGCTCGAGATAGACCGAGCAACCAAGACTCCAACAAAAGGTACCTGCCGTTTCGGTGCAGCACCCCACTAACGGCCAAGTACCTCGTGCCAGCAGCGCACCGCCACTATCAGCCATCCATCAGGTCCATCCCCATCGGCAGCAACCAGCCTCAGCTCAGCTCAGGACCAGACCTCATCCCAGCTTACCTACTCGCATCGTCTGCCTCTTGTCCTGTCCCCATCCCCACCCTTGCGCCAGGCGGGCACACTCTCAGGTCTCCGGATCGCAACTGCTCACACGACCACCCGCACCGCTCCAGCTGCTACTACCTAAAGCCCTCGGCCTTCCCTCCCAGCTTGCCCCTCCTCGCCTTGCATCGCGTCATCATCCAGGTCCAGCCTCGTCCGCTTCGTGCGTCCAGCATACGAGCTGCGCGGTATCGGACACGAACCCCAACGACTCTCCGCCCAGCTTCTTCCTTCCTGTCCGGATCCATTCTTTCGGTCCTCCGACAGAGGCATTTCCCTGTTGCGCATTTCCCCAACCGAGAGCTTGTCTAGCTGCAGCCTCGTCCCCAGTCGCCCACCATGCAGGCCATGCCAGATACCCGCCAGCAGAGCTTCGACGAGATCTACGGAGCGCCAGAGAACTTTCTCGAGATAGAGGTTGGTGAACCCCCTCCCCATCCCCCTCCAGGCCGAATTGTCCCAGCAGAAACGTCGCAGCTCCTCATCTCCCTCAAAACCAAGCCTCATCAGCCCGCACACAGCCTTACCAAGTCCCCTCGCACTGACAATCAAACCCTGGCAGGTGCGCAACCCGCGAACGCACGGCATCGGGCGCTCCATGTACACCGACTACGAGATCGTCTGCCGCACCAACATCCCCGCCTTCAAGCTGCGCCAGAGCAGCGTCCGCCGCCGGTACTCCGACTTCGAGTACTTCCGCGACATCCTCGAGCGCGAGAGCGCCCGCGTCACCATCCCCCCACTGCCGGGAAAGGTCTTCACCAACCGCTTCAGCGACGACGTCATCGAGAGCCGCAGGGCCGGCCTGGAGAAGTTCCTCAAGATCGTCGTCGGGCACCCGCTGCTCCAGACGGGGAGCAAGGTGCTGGCCGCGTTCGTTCAGGGTATGTATTAGTTTACCCCAATTCGAGAGCTCCCATCTGGCTCGCATTGTTCAACCTCTACTCTGAGAGAAATATAAAGACCAGACTGCTAACCATCTCACGACGAACTCCAGACCCGAATTGGGACCGCAGCGCATGGTGACGTTATGATCTCTCGACTCAGCCCCAGGGCACCGTCAACATGTCCCTCATCGTAGCCAGCGCGCGTCTGCCCAAGGACGTCCGCAGACGCCGCGCGGTCAGCAACATCGTCGAGATGTTCGCCGCTGCCACAGAGGACCCGCCGCCGCCGAGAAAACGACGGAGTTCAGTTGCCGTGTCTTTGAAGTAAGGGAAAAGATGTACCGCGCATGAGTCGGGGGCTCCCCTCACCGGAAGTGAGTGAGTTCTCTGGGGCGATTTTTCTCTTCTACTTCACTCTTGCTGTTCTACCAACCCCCCGCAAGCTCCGAAAAACTTGTTTCTACCTATTTTGATCCTCAATTAGCATCTATCATTATTTTCTTTTCGGGCCTTGGACCCTCTTTATTTCGCTTTTCTATGCCTCTCTATCTTTCTCACCCGCCAGTGATTAAACCATTTGAGGACCCATCTTCGTTTCGTGGAGGGAGTAGGCGGCGTTTGTTCAATTTCCTGTTTCTCTAGGAGCTGCATAATACACAACTTAGCAAAAAGCACATATTCATCACATCGATGGGAAGAGGGGAGGATCGTATAATTCAGTCGTAGTATTTCGTGATTATGCATGCCGTAGCAGGGTGTTTTCCTTTCCTAATTCTAGTGATACAAGGTCGTTGCTCCTCTGCCGGCGAAACCAAGGCTCGCCATGCTGAGGTTTTCTATATCGGTTGATTACCTTCTCCCCTTTTTTTGCTATTATACAGAGTTGGAGATGGAGAAAAAAACATCTGAAAGGGGCATCAGAGAAATTCATCTACTTCGTGATAATCCTCCCAAGCCCCGCTCTCTCCCATAACGCCCCTTTTTAATCTAACAGGTATTCCCAGTTCTAGTGAGTTTCTCTTTGGTATCGTACAAGCCCCTTCGGAGTCAACGCCTCGATAAGCCGGAGCTTGTCGGTAAGGCTGAGAGGGAGGGGCGGGTTTAATAGGTGGTATGAATTGAAGATTTTTCTGATTGTGGACGAGGACAGCACCTACGCCGGTGTGTCGAACAGGCGCAGGATGCCTTCGTACATGCCGAACATGATGGCGGCGCTCGGGACGGTGCGCATCAGATGGGGGGTCAGACCGCCGTAGAGTCCCATGAGGCCCTCCTCGACCCAGACGAGGCGGAAGCACTGCATCAGGCCGGTGTACTTGGGCTTGCTGCCGTCAAGGGGCACTTGACGAAGACGAGTTCGAGCGACCTAGATGGTCCCTGTTAGCTTTCCCAACCATTTTCCAATCTCTGCATCTCCAGCGGGGTTATCCTTCTCCCATCGAAACGAAGAGAGATCACAAACTCACCTCATGGGGATACGCCAACACCGCAGCAATCAGCTTCGCGCTGCCCGCAGCGCCAAACTTGCCCGTCCAGTCGACCGTCCGGTCCCACCAGCCCTTCTCCCTCCCGCTCCGCACGATCCGCTCCTCCCGCCGCGCCAGCCCGGCCTTCATCTGCTCGTACAGCATCCAGTGCAGCGTCGACTCTACCACGCCCAGGTAGCTGGCGCTCATGCCCTTGTACAGGCCGCGCACCCCTTCCTCGCGCACAATCTGCCGCACGCAGTCGGCACTGTTCCTGTACCGCCGCTGCGTGGCCCCGCCGCTGCGCGCCGCCACGTTCTTGTCGAGCTGCAGCCGCGTCTTGACCATCCAGATCGGGTTCGTCACCGTCGACGTCACCACGCCCGCCGCGCCGCCCGCCAGGAGGTGGCACCACGCGCCCTCCTGACCGTTGTTCCAGTGCTGCGCGAGGAACTGCTTGCCGTTGCCGTAGACGTAGAAGTTGATGGCGCGGGCGGGCACCACGCCGATGAGGTTGGGCCCCAGGCCCTTGAAGAGCGCGCGCCCGCCCTCGGTGCGGTAGACGGAGCCCAGGATCTGCAGCGTGTCGGTGAGGTGGTAGAGGGCCGCGCGGGCCGGGTTGAGCGAGGCGACGTGGGCGGCGGAGCGGGATGCGCGGATCTGCGCCTGGTAGAAGTCGGACTGGAGGCGGGTTTTCAGGACGTCGAGGGGCGCTGTGAGGGTTGCCGCCGTCATGCCTCCAACACTGCAGCCGGATTAGCAAAGCAGTCCATCGGTCCACATACCATGTCTCAAGCAAAGCTGCATGAGGCAAGGGAAGTGAGGGGGGAAGCGCCATACCCTCCGGCCATCATGTGCACCCAGGACTTGGCGAATGGAAGGGCCTTGACCTGGCCTCTGATGATCTCTTCAGGAATAACATCGCCGGTTTCTCTCGATTGGATGAGCACCGAGTGCTCCGCGGGAACTGTCTGATGCTGGGGCGCGCGGCCATGCGCAGCCGACGGCGTTTCCGCCATGGTTGCCAACTTTCGGTAGGGAAGAAAGCGATACGATTTCGCTGTGTGGGTTGATGAACTGCTATGAGCTCATCTACTTGGCGTCAAAAGCCTCCAAATCGATAGCTGCGGTAGAAGCTGGAGGAAACAGTGGTTTGCGGTGCCGAGGTTGGTATCGATGACGGTGATGCAGCTACGGCAAGAGATCGGTGGGTGTGATAATTTTTTTTGCTTTCCCGATAAGCCAACCACGCCCCTGGTCATTAAGTGCTGAGCCCGGGCGCCTGTTTTTCGGCGCCTGAATCTAGATGCATGGGGGTTCTTTTAGGCGCTAGCAGATACCGCCCGGAAGTCTTTTGTGGGGTTGCCGTTCACTGATCGCGGCCCCACGATAGCCCAGATGCACTGCTGGCATTGAATGGCAATATACAGACGGCACCAATTCATTCGCTCCATGCCTCTGAGCTTTGGCATAGCTTCTGCAAAGTACCGTAAATCACGTTCAAGTTCTGCAGCTTGATTTGCTACGCTTTATCTCCCAAGTCCCCTGTCGTCCAGATCCCCTTAGTCCTACCATAAATCACAAATTATAGCATGGCACAGGGGAGTACATACACACATTTTATACATCGCTGTTCTTGCTATAAAAAAAATGACAAATAAAACCACTGTCTCTGACTGTGGATCAGGGACGGTTGGTTTCAAAGCCTAGGTATCGACTTACCGTGACGGCGGGTTGGATGGTGCCCAAAACTGTCGTTCCCCGCCAGCCTGGCTAGCAGAGGAATGACTGTGCGGTGTGCTTGGTGCGTTCAGCCCCGAGCTTTGGCCGGTGGGAATGGCGGCTCTGGTCCTGATAGCTGGCAGTTCCGATCTGCCCGACAAGATATTGTGCAGGCCAAACGCAACTGGACCTCCTCCTGGGTCGTCGGTTCCCTGGCTCTCTGGCCGTGGCGTTTCCGCAGTTGATTCAGCTGCGGTTCTCGGATACACTGCTGTGCCTCCAGTAGGACTGACGAGTTCCTGCTCAGTATCAAAGTCCGGGAGCTTCTCGATTGGGGGCAGACCCATGTCCTGCCTCATTGATGTGATCTCCTCTTCTGTCGCAGACTTCCAGCTACATTTCGCATGTTTCTTGGTGCATCCTTGGCAAGCAGTGAGATGCTTCAAGCATGGCTGTCTAAGGCGGCGGCACCGGTCACAAGGAGGATGAATGCTTTCACCTCGTCCTAATCTTTCTACCAGCTGTGTGATCAAGGGTCTGAAGATGTCTAACTGGCTCTCCAATTCTGCAGCCGCAGCCCGGGCAGATACTGAGCTTCTCCGGGGTTGCGAAGCTGACATAGATGGCGACGGTTGGCTTTGACTCCATTGTGCCACTGAAGCTGACCGTGAGGGGGTGCCAGAAGGCGTCGGTTGAAGGAACTGCTGCAGAAGATCCTGGTGAAGGTCATACGAGGGGTTCTGCGAGAGCTTTCGGAATCGTTGGTTCACTGATTGAAACCGCGGGCCAGATTCGGTCTCCCAATTCTGCCGTCGTCGCGATAGGTCCTGTTTCCGCACCCCAACCTTGTGGTGCAGGTTTCGGGCTCTGGTCGCCAATTCCTCTGCTTTTCTGGAGAGGATTAAAGTTCTCTGCTCAATAATATCCATAGTGGCAATCTCAGCAGTCTCGTCCTCTTCCATTGGATGATCAAGAGGCAACCTGTTCAGTGCCCCCGAAGAAATGAAGCGCCAATCATCTTCCGAAATCTCCGTTTGATGGCCTCGACATACAAATTGGCAGCAGCGAGTGCCATCTTCCATATGGGACAGGGAAAATTCATCGGGATTCGTCTTAGCATATGTGCAAACATCCAGCCAGCTAATCGGTGGGAATGGATGTGGCGGGTACGTCTTAATGGAACCCTCAAAAAACTTCTCAATCCCCTTTATCAAGCGAGGGCCCGTCAACTTGGCACCGAGGCTTGCCGCGAAGCTCTCCTGTCTTTCTAAAACCCCTAGAGTGGCAGGTTAAGCTAGACCTTAAAGGGCGATCTCAAGAGATGAGAACTATGCCAGAAAACGACGGCAGTTCAACATACCTTCATACTCTAGAATAAGACCGAAGAGATCCGAGAAGGTCTCAGCATCGCCCTGGATTAGACTCAAGCGATCTGTAGGCGAGGTTGACAGATAGTTTATACCGCCTAACAAGCCCAGCGGCCAAAGTTAGCGTCATTATAGTAACACAAGAAAGAGATGAGTAGCCAGGCGCATTGTGTCGTGAGTGGTCTGTTGTTTCAGTCATAAATGACCGTGTGGCAGATGAGAGTCGCCAGATAGCAATAGGAAGTAATAGCCAAACTGCAAGACCAGCAGGAATAAGCATACAGGGTCAGTGTCCTGACAGGTTCGCGCAGTCCACATTTGCATGCAGCAGTGGCGATCAGTGCCCGAAATATGAGGTGCACTGGTGATGGGAGGAGTGGTCCAACAACGTGCTGGCTTCGCATTCTCCAGCACAATCGTAGAAATCACAACGTACCTTGCTGCAGAGGCATCTGTTGATAGTGCCCGGGCGGAAAGCTTCCATGGCTTCCACCATCTTCTGATTCTCGTTTTCGCTTATGAGGTTCCAATTCGCTTGTATGTGCCATAGTACTGGCTAGTTCCCCAACCTTTGCAAACCAAAAGGAGGACAAGCCCTCGTTGGCAGAACCGATGGGAAGTGTACAATATGAGAAACCAAATCAGAATGCGAATAGGTCTAATAGCCCAAGCAAGAGGTAGCAAAGACCGCTACGATTGGAATGGAGAGTTGGGAGGGGGGAAAGAGGTAGAAAGAGGGAAATGGTCAAAGGGAGGAATGAATAAGAGCAGGTACGCCGTTTCGTCGAACAAATCAGTTAACCTATGGGGGGGTGTCCGAGTCCGGGCATCGAGAGATCGAGAGGCCTGGTCCACGCAGTCGACATTTGATAGTCGGAGGGTTCCACTACGATCCGGACGGGCCTAGACCCAGGAATTGGACCAGGCCGTGTCAGAGGGGTGAGAAAGAGGTCTTGGTCTGAGTCCAGGGGACGCAAAAGGCGCTTAAACATATCAATGGGATCTGCGTATTTGCTTTTCATCGACCCAAGTCCAAGTGTCGCCATCCTGCCCTCGTAGGGTAGGTTTGGGGGTGGAGTCAAGGACTGACTTTGTAGTTGGCGGATACACAACCCAGCGGCGAGAGAAGAGACGACCCACGATGCGGCGTGATAGTGCGGGGGGCCGTCTCGGTACGAAAAGCTCAATCTTAGCAAGAGCAGAGGTACGTAGATACAGATCCCAGCGCTTGTCATGGGTACCAACATGGGCAATTGTTTCGTCGGCGGAATGTCTCTAGTCATGAACCCTCTGGCATGAGTCGTTGAGGCGATCAACGTCTGGCCATGCGCCGGGGACATGACGGCTCCGAAGCGCACTGAAAGGGAAGTCAACCAAGCACGGGCAGGGATCTGCAGACGCATGACAGCGGGAGAGAAAGCATCTCTGTCGTGATCACAGCTGCAAAGCTGCTGGTGGCGCCAAAAGTGCAGACCGGCAGGCAGCAGGGTCCAGCAAGCGGATGCAATAAAGACAGCCAGCTGATCATGGAGGTGGTAAGGCGTGTGGAATCTGTGCATGCAGCGTGGGCAATGACGGTCGCATTGGCAGGTCGTGGTAGAATGTCGTTGTTGTCGGAGGCGCCGTCGGCCTGGATCCCAACGGTCCCAAGCCCCAGGCCTGTAGGGAAGTTACCCTGCCCTGACCTGCATCCTGCCTTCCCTTCCTGCACGATACGACTCATCTAGCAGAAGGAAGGCACCGCCCACCGAAGCCACTCCCGGGCCCAACGCTCCTCTGTGCCTCATTGCAAGAGCCAGTGGGGGGAGGTACTGGCTCAAGCTGTGCTGCCACCATTCCGACATATTGGAACTGTTCCTCCGCCGGCAAACCCCAATCCGCCGCATCAACGGAAGACGCTACCTTCCATCAATGTTGCTCATCAAGCTAAAGCAGGTACATGGCCAGATACTTGCAGTCTCACCCCCCGACCATGTTTCCCCATCAGCCCATCCAGCCACTTTGCTAGCTCGTCCGTCCCATAATAAGCTCCCTTCGACCCGTCTCGACCTCCAAGCCTGCATAGTGAATGCGGAGCTAGCGAATGCCTGACAGATGGGATATAGCTGCTGACCCAAAACTAACGACCAACACCAGCTGGAGTCGACACGGTTTGTAAGACGTCTCTTGTCTCTCCCGATGTCGCCACCTATACACGTACTTTCTTATTATAGCCCTTCCAAACTGCAACACCGCTCCATTCCCGATCCCACCACAAGGGTCGCCAATCAGCCTGCACGGAGATGAGGCCGCGCGCAGCCACTGCAGATCCGACCGTCTTATCCGCAGTGGCGTTTCCCACACTCAGGGAATGACCTCAGCTTGTGTGCCCATGAATTGCGTAGGTAGTGGAAGTTGCCGTTTTTATGGTACAGCCATTGGCATATAATGTGAACCAGCTGCACGCCGCACTCAATCTCTAGGTTAGTATTCTACCTTAGTCTGATTGGCATGGTAACTCAATAATACGGAGATACGAAGCTAGATATCAGGTGGTCTACACCTTTTCTTTTTTTTCCTCTGCAGACGAGTTTCTCGTACCATCTGTTGATCTTATAGCAGAATGTCTAGGATTCGTAGTGCCCAGGATGGTCTGCTTGAATCCTTGAGGCACCCCACGATAGATAAGCAACACGAGATGAGATCCCGTCATTTTCGGAAAATTTCCCCAAGATCAGCGACATCTCCTCGTCTAATACGAATTCGCCACTCTACAACCTGTATCTACCTAGAAAAATGTCACCATGAAAATCAATTCCAAATCTCTCTACACCACATCTTCAATCCAACACCAATCGCCGCTACCAAATGACAGCCCCGCGCCTCATCCCAGTCCGCCTCATGGTATAGGGTAACCTAAAACCAGCTCCGATTTTAACTGCCCCTCCATGTGAAAGCTCCCAACACCACTGCGACAAACCGCCACACGAACAGAAACGCCCAATCCCAACTGCAAACCACAGCCCGCCCTCTCCCTACCAACCCCCAACCACCCATCCCACACACACCCCGAAACCCGAGCGAACAATGTCCGAGAGACCTTCCCACCGAGGCGGAGGCCGTGGCGGCGGCGGCGGCCACAGAGGAGGCGGTCACCGGGGTGGTGGCCGCGGCGGAGCTCGAGACG